AAAAAGAAGGGAATTACGCAAATCGCTCATAATAATGCCGTCGTCACAAGTATTAAGAAAATAGCTGACGTATTACCCGGTATTTTCATACTTTTTTTTTGTCACAAGCAAAACTAGTTCGACATCTAACGATGAAAGGGAAGATGAATTGGAATTTGAAATTACAAATAGGATGTTACTTAATATTAACGCTAAGAAGTCATGTGGCCCGGGGCATTCCTAATCTTTTTTTAAAGAGATATGCCGAAGTGCTGACATAGTTCTTAACTGCTATTTTCAATGTATCGTTCTCAAATGTAATTGTACCCCGTGACTGGCGCTCGACACGTCCAATTCCGGTTATTTAGAAAGGCGATGCGTCAACCCTCGGCAACAATCGTCGAATATGTTTAACTTGCTTATAGTGTAACCTTATGAAACACGTGATTGCGAACTATCGAACTGTATACCTTTATGAGCACAATACACTCTACGACGCGCAGCTTGGGTTTAGGCGGGTATTTTGCACAACTCGACTCACAGCTGTAGCGCACGATTTTGCCAAAGTTCTTGACAAATCTGGCTCTATCGATGCTATATTTCTTGACTATTCCAAAGCATTTAATAAAATGCCACGTAGCAAGCTACTTCTTAAGTTAAAATTAATTATAGTTCACCCGAAGATAATGAGATGGATACACGCGTATTCGGAAAACCGCAGGCAACTTCTTGAAGTGAACAAAAGTTTCTCTCGTTTGTTTCAAGTTAAATTTTAAATACCACAAGGATCCGTCCTTGTGCCACTGCTTTTCATTATCTATAATAATGATCGCGTTGAGTACGTAGATACTAGGTGCTAACGTCCCCATGCCATTGTTTGCGGTTGATTGCGCTATTTTTGAAGTTTCAAGTATTAATGATCAGGCAAATTTAAACCGCCGACTAAATTAGGTGACTGAATGGTGTAATCAGTGCGACATGTTGATAAATTATGACAAAACTTTATTTTTGGATAACAAACATAAGAAAAAAATCATCTTCCCTTTTTAATAAGGAAGATATTTATTGGTTAGGTTTTGGGACAGAAGTACCTAGGAAGCTCTAACGGGGAATCTAAAATGGTCGAGACATATAAATATAATATGTTCAACAGCCCGTAGAAAGATGGGCTCACTTCAGCGAAGGCTGAGCAATGCGCCTAGTGACGTCATACTTTTGGCCTGTAAAAACTTTGTAGTGTCTGTGCTGGAATATGCTTGCCCAGAATGGGATCAGCATAAGAAAGGTGATATCAGAAAACTATTCTTAGTTTCACCTTAAGTCCAGACGCAGCCTAATCTACGAGCTGAAAGGACCAACTTGACAGTGTCAAAAGCAGACGATCTTGATGTTCGTCATATTTCTTTGCGTGTTCTACCATCGATGATCCAGTCATAGAAAAGTCCTAGTGACCTGTGGCTTTTACGCCGCTTGATTGGTCCAATTAGCTGGTAGCGTCGGCTGTGTCGGGACTTAAGCGGAAACAATGTATAGAAAAAATGCAATTGCTATCACTTAGATTCATTCACAGAAGATACCGTAGAATAGACTTTGTGTCAGACATGCTGAACCTATCAGGCGTCAGTCTCCCGGGGTTCGGGGAAAGATAACCCGGTTAAATGTTTTTTTTTCATTCGCTTTATTTTCATAAACTCGCGGTAAAGCCATCCGCTATCTAAAATAGCCCCCGAATGCGCCACTCACGACATAAAACCCACAATCTGTCGTGACCCCGTTTGCGAAGGCCAACACATATAAGGCATTCTTTTTTCTTCAACACAATTAATGATTGGGATGAATTGCCCCCTATAGCGTTTGAAAGTAATAGTAGCTTTTTAAGTGTATTTCAGAGTCATGAAAGCAGATTCAACCCTCGTACAACTGTATTGGCAATAAATTGTGTGACCTCTGAGTATGCGTGGCTTATGTGAACTGTATTGCTTTGGTTTAAGTACGTGTGGTGCCAATGCTTGCTACCTGCCGTATTTTTCCTTACTGTGCTTCCCCTTACTCATGTGAATGCATTTATTTATTCAGTCATGCATTTTTTTCAGTGTGTTTCAACATATCTATGGAAGTGTGCGTTTTTCTTAACACATAAACAGAACAGACAGCTGAACACATGTAGATGTTATGGATTCAACAGATTGAATAGTCGCCCTGTTTTGGCACTCCTTGTAAACTTCATAAGAGCACAACAGAATTTACGGGAATTAAAGAAACCAGCTGCAAAAACAAGAAATGTGATAGAAGAGTTGTAAGTTGGGCGAGTTGGTAAACATTGAAGATGGTTAAAATCGCGCACAAAGAGACGAGGACAAACGAGGAAGGAACACACCATACAGCAGGTATGGTGTGCCCGTAGTACTATCAGCCCCTAAGAAAATGCGACAAATTTGTTCTAAGGTTCGTGAAAAGGCGGAAAATTTATCAATAAACACGTGCCATAAAAAACATGTGCGGCCATTTGTTCCCTGTTCATCGGGCGTTGTATATAGCATTCCTCTTTCATGTGGAAGGTGCTATGTAGGACAGACGGGACGGTGTCTGAATGACCGGCTACGAGAGCATAAACTTTCTTTAACATCCAATGTAGGAGGTCACCTTTCGGTGCACTGTAAAACCTGTATCTGCACACCATCTTTGAAAAAACATCAATCATTGGCCGCTTTAAAGAAAAACAAACGCGCGAGGTACTCGAGGCGTTCACCATCTTGAGCCTGACCGATCGCTGCGTTAGCCAGCCGTCGGTAGCTTTGAGCGAAAAAGAAGTTGCCTTCTTGCGAACATTTGACTGCGGATGATCTGTTTCCCCCTGGTGACGTTGTCCCCTTAAATAATAGTGCTTCATCTTTCTCTTCTTCACTTAATATACTAGAGTTGTGAGTGCGCGCCTGTCTGTGTTCTGTGTTCCTTCCTTGTTTGTCCTCGTCTCTTTGTGAGCGATTTTAACCATGTTCAAGAAATTTGATAATGCCTGATTGAATTTTCCGATTAACTTGAAGGTGAATTTGGAATGTGCCTGGCAAACAGTGCAGTTAAAACCTAAACGACCGCAGTATTTTCACCTAAAGTCGGTGGATATCTCTGCTGCTGAAGACGTCTTGTCTTCGAGACCGGTCATCCATCAACAACTTCCATCACTCATATATAACTGGAGGAAAAGCGGACAGCGGAAGACAAATTAAACAGCGGTAAAAACGGGAATTTCAAGTAGTCGGGAAAATGTTTAGTGCAACTGCGCTTAAAGGGGCCCTGCAATCATAATTAGCCGTCTACCTTTTTTTGCGGTTTACACGTCTCTTGGAGTTCGGGCACGGCAGCGGGCACGGAGAGAGTAACGAAATATCGGTGCGTCATATTTTAACCGCAGCGGAGACCTCCTCCACCTACGGGGGTTACCCGCGGTGCCGAAAGCGCGCGATATGTGACGTCTTTGGTCCTTGGCTTACTACTCGTCAAAGCGGTTAAACGCCTCTTTTTAGTCGAAATAAAAATATGAGTGGCGCGAACCGCTTCAAAAATTTATAAAGGTAATTTTGGCTCAGTATTTTTGATCAGAAAAAAACAAACAAATGCAGTTTAGAAAGTACAGAAACAAGAAATGACTCGTCGACATATCCGCCACCAGGCGGCGGAAAAGACGGCGCATACAAGAAAGTAGTGGGATCAGGCACCGACGAGTGGCGAGCGTAGGAAGGTCCCGGATGTACGCGGTGGCGCTGCGGTCGTGTAGTCTGGAGGATCCCACCGGTTCCGAGCGCTCTCAAGGCCTTCGGCGTGCGGCTTTGGCTTGCGGTTTGGCCAATTGGCGGTATGGGAGCGCGAAGTGACTCCCATTCTGAACTGATCTTTACCACGTGTTTGCTGTTGTTTGTGGCCACTGAAGTTTCATGCCGAATTAGTGTTTAATCGCGCAGCAAATGCAGTACGAGCCTCCCTGACTGCCCGCTTCATATAGACTGTCCAGAACATGCTTTAGTGGCGCCCTCTCGAGCCGTCGACACGGAGTGTGGTAGCCGTGAGCGCTCGTTGAGCTCACTACCCCTCCTCTAGTTCGCGGCCACTCAAGCGACCGAGGACGTCATAAAGGAGGTTACTTCTTGCTTGTTTTTGTAATCTTAATTTGTCTATAACTCTTAAGGTAAAATTTGAGAAAAGAAAAGTCATTAAGTTACTACGCTCAGTGCCTTCAGGTTCGTTGTAAATCAAAAACCAGTAAAAATTTCTTGCAGGTTAAGGCTCTTGGTTTGAGACAGGGTTCTCGAATGCCACGGACATATGTCAACGTTCTGACTTCGTTGACCACTGTGATCTGTAAATCGCAGTGGTCAACAAATAAAAAAAAATACTAATCAATCTTTAATTTATTATTTCTTTCGAGACGCACTTCGTTTTCGCCTTGTCTGTACGAACGCCTTGCGCCTGTGGCTGGATTATTACACGTCAAGTTTAAAGGTTATGTCTCTACGACATTTCTCTTCGCCTCTGTCAAGTTGAAGATTTTCCTAAGTTATTTTGACCTTTCGGTACGGAACCTTCAACTGCTAAAGTCGTTTTATTAAAAAAAAATTAACGCGTCGTTGTTAGACGTGTTTTTTTGCTCTACCTACGACATTTGGAGCAAACCTTTTTAGTTTTGGTATCACGTGGACTTGGCAATTTAGGACACCTTTAATCCCAGGTGACCAAACATGTTGTCAGGACGGGTTTCAGTCAAGTACATGATGTACGCGACATGAATAATTGCCTCTAGTAAATTAACCCTTCAAGAGTGGCATGAGGCATCACGTCGTGAAAATGGACAAAAATAGTTCAATGAGGGAGTGCACATTTTTCTCTGAACTCTTCCAAAATGTCATACCGTTGTCCTGTTCTAAACTCTGGAAAACCGCGTTGACTACGAGGATGACAAGGAACGACTATAAAAATCCGGGAGGTTGCCGAAAGCAACGTGCACAGGAAGGCTGCGATCAGGCAGAATGCCAGACGACGTTGGTTTCATTGTAGCACTGATGCTGGCTGCTGTCCTAGCAGGTAAGTGTGACGATGCCCGTGGTTTTAGATAATAAATGACATGAACCAAATAGGTTAGTTCGCGATGAAGTACCTAGATTATGTCTAAACACGGAAGGCTCTCTGGCGATAGTTTGGTAGAAACTGACTTGCCGCAAATTTGTTTGAACACATTAACAGGCACGTCTGAACTAGTAATTAAAATTACAAGTCAGAACGATTTTTTTTTTTTGTTCGCGGAGTTTTTGATGTTTTAAATTTGTTCCTAGAAACTGAGATGCTCTGCCGGACAAACTCAAAAACCTGGCGTCAAACGTTAAGTATGGTTAGTACAGTGTGTTTCCGACGGATTACGAGAATTTTAATTGTGTGAAACGAATGCTGGGGTCAACTCACGCGAGCAAAACAAAACGAAAGAAAAGAAGACGCGCAAACTGCTTTAACTTTTTAGACTACATGATCGACTTGCAGTTTATAAAATGTGTGACGTGACCGCACTGGCGAGCGTGGAAAAACGTGAATGCTGGTTTCGGCCTAATTCTTCATTTGACGTTATCTCAGTAACTATTTTCAATTTAGAGGTAGTAAATTGCATGCCGGGAAGAGTGATATGCCTGAATATTCGGAAAACGTGCTTGAGTTTGGGTATCTTGTAAAACCGCCGGAGCACCCCTTTAATAATATTTCAGCGACTGAATGAAGTTGCAAAGAAATTGTTCTTTTATTTGTAGTCTGCATAATTGTGAGAAATAGACTCTTTTCTAAAGACCGTCGAGCAACATTGAAGGTCGCGATCTCTTGGTTTTAGGGGGAATAATTTGGCTTTGAACGGCGGGAGGAATCATATGGATTTCTTTTTAGACATAGGCTAGGTAGCACAAGGTACCGCCCGTTACAAATGGTATAGCCATTAACATCCATTGATTCATTCTTGACACAAAGCGCGTGATTGAATCCGAGTCCTCGCCGAACGCTGCCGCAGCGGTCGTGCCCAGTACGAGCTCAGAGAAGGTGATCAAGCAATGGCGGACAGGCGTTGGTGTGAACGTTTAGGAAAAGAGAGTATTGTGAAACCTCGAGTTCTAGAATTACATCCGACGCCTGTGCGGACCCACCCCAACCTACCAATGAACTTATGCAGCTGCAGGGCTTCCTTCGGAGAACATTGTGTACCCGAGAATACTTCAATCGAGAGATCAGAATGGCGAAAGGACCCTCTACATTCGACGCGGACTCGTGCTGAGCCTCGAAAGGAGCCGAGTGTTCTCGGACAACTTTGTTTTCTCAATAGACGGCGGTGTAAATAGACTCGACAAACTCGTGAGTACATTGTAGTCTTGCTGGTTTTACCAGGGTGGTTATCTCTGGGCTTTACGAAATTTTCTAAATAAACGACGTGAAAGCTGCACTAATGCTGTCTTTTGCGGGTGAGTTATACGGACAAGGGGATAAAATATAAGGTGATCATGATAAGTCATATACGCAGCTTTAAATGCATGATAAGCTTTTTAATCATTGCAAATAACCATGGGGGTTTCGGTTAAAAGCTCGCTGGGCGTCATCGCATATCCCTAAATTATTCAGTTGTAGAAAGATATTGTGCGCGTGCTCCCTTTATCTCAGGCCAGATTCACGAAATGACCTTATATACCAAAAGGTGCATACGACAAAACCTGAAAATTTTGTATTCACGAAGCAAAATCATCGTAAGTTTCGCATAGGTTACGATAGAATCATACGACAGCTCCAGACGTGTTTTATACACGTTTCACGATCAAATCCATATTCCCGGTGACATCGCTCGCTTTTCTAGTCGCGAAGATCGGCCAAAGGGTTTTTCATAACGCTCAATAACTTTCTAATATTGGGAGGCGCGGAGTTCAAATCCCGGCTCCACCATAGATTTTTTGTTCCGGCAGCTCCGTAGAATTTGTTTCATTCGATCAAGTACAGTTCATTCATCAGCATATTTTCGATTCAACCCCATACTTAGTTGTGCTTAATAAAATTTTAATTCACAAATCAGCTAACTATTCGACTTATCGAGTCGATCAGGCCTTTATATCATGTCCCCTTGGTCTGCACCCAGTTTTCATGATCCAAGCATGAGAAATATAATGAACGGAACTAAGGAGAGCTTATACAAATTCACATTGAATCGCTCGTTGTGATCTACGTTAACAATGACACGAAATGCACCTAATTTTAGGGGCCGGTCAGACATTTCGCTGATATTCCATACAGCATAGGCTGGCAGAAAGTGCGCTAATTTTTGAAGTGAAACGTCTTCACCATCCTCATCACCTCCAATGAATACTCTATTTGAACGAGTTAAATGCCTTAAAATAAATGTCATAGGTAACTTTTTAACTGTGAATTGCTGTTATGGTACTTTTAAGGCAAACGTGACCAATAAACCGTCTTGTGATAACGTAATTAAAGTTTAGCTATTTTTATTACGTGTAATTACTACTGCCAATGCGATTTCAAATAAAGGTAATCGGAATTAAAAAGCGCTTGCACCACACAATGTTTAGTTTAAAATGCAGATTTTTCAGCATCTATGTGTGATGTCGCCAACTTGTACATTCAGTTTGTATTGTTCTTTGATCCGTACCAAACCTGAATTTAATTCTGCCGTTTGAAACTGTACTCGCACAAACCATGCAATGATAAAAATGTACGCAGACGTTTATTGCATTATTTAGGACTGCTCCATTGGCCACACTGTGGACTATGATTATGCGAGAATTCCCCGAGGATGTGGTGTTTCTGCACGAAGATCGAGGAGGCTTGACCACGATCTTGTTTCCTTGGCAGACGTGCTTGCATACGGTCTGATTGACTGTGCTAACTTCGTCAGCTATCGATTCTTGGTGCCGCGAGTAATTTTGATGGTTAGTCTCGACATCTCCAACTCAGACATTGAGAAATTTAGCTCCTTTCTGTGTAATATTTAACTATTTATTGTGTATCCTCAAACAAAACTTTTCTGCGAGTTTTATATTAGATTGTTTCATTTACATTTTTATTTTATTTAGTTATGTTGCAACTACCTTTGTTAATTGTATCATCTCCGCTAGTTTGTTAACCCACATGTATTATCGTAGAACGAAATCATTGAGCGGTCATTGAAATTTTAAATTTGTTTTTTGTGCATCACCATCCAGGGAATCTCGCTTTTCGTAAGCATAATAAAAAAGATGGTTATGGTGATAATATTTTTATATGATCATAAGTTTAATTTGCTGTTTCAATGGCGGAATGCAAACTAGGAAACCTCTTGGTAAATTCATAAACGGAAAGTAAATATTCTGCATTCAAATAAAACAGAACCTATTTTTGGGACAAGCAAGTGTTTGCGAAGTCATTACAAAATTTATTCCAACGTTTAAAACATTCCTTGCAGATGAATGGCAAGGACCTAGAAAAGAATATGTATCAAGACCGAAACCACAGCTCCGTTGTGTTTGTTGATGAAGAAAAGGGAGCTGTGCAAGTGGTATGATTTACTCCTCTTTTTATAGGACGACATCTAGGCTTTTTAAGATATATGGTTGAACACTAATCTTTTCTAATGTGTGGTTTACGCCCAATCTTTTCGTAGACAGGAATCCTGGACAACAAATTCTCAATCGAGCCAATCGCGTCGAGTCACCGGTCAGAAGACGACCTCGTTGGTCACAGATTATTAGATCTTGAGGACATCGATAATCCACTTGGCGACGACTCTGGTAAGACTCAAATCTAAAAAAAAATCGATTAGGGAAAATGTGTTTTAAATTGAGTGTGAGCACATTCAGTACCAATTGATTATTTTAATATAGAGTAAGCACAATGAGAATCTTCGCAGTGAATTTTGTTGATAGTACAAGTGACTTAACGGATAATCTACCACTATATTATCGTGTGTGGTCCAAATTTCTCCGGGGCACGTTTTGTGTAACACGTCTAAGAAGTTGTAAAATTAACTAATATTGTGAAATGTTTTTTATTCTTATTTCTGCGTTGCAAAGCAAATTTTCGTCATGCGGTCTTTCTATGACAATTCTTAAACCCGAGCGCTTCTGAAAATCATATTCAAGTAGTGATGTTCGTGATTCCACTACACACATTATTCTGAACGCGAATTAGGTTCTCTAGGCACTCAGTTCCCATTTCAACACGAATTAGGTTTTCTATGCACTCAGTTCCCATTTCTCGGAAGCTCACAATCTCAGCTGGAAATTCAAGCCATGATCGTGCAGCATTGTGGCGATTTGACTTTTACTTACACTCAAGAAGCACTACTTGAACTTCCCATTCGATAATGAGAGTATTGAACAAGATATATATATATATATATATATATATATAATGGGTGGTTTCATCTCAAATCGTGCAGGCAAAAAGGGTCGAATTTTTAATTTCGATGAAAAAAATATATGTTATGGCGCCGTTTCTGAAACCGCAGTCGACACAAACCGCAAGTTCGTCGGATTTTTTGTTCTCGACTTATGAATTATTAAAGAGGCCGCGGCGAAAAGCAGTGTTTTTCACACCCGTCGTGGGTCGGATGTTTCGCTTGATCTCCCGCCATGGAGTTTTAGTCCACATTATATTATCTTTTTTGAAGCACTCTGTGGACACATTTAAAAGGTTCCAATACCATGAAATAATTTTAGGCCTTTTGCTTTTTTCCTGTAAAAATGTCAAAAACGCCTCCTCGGTCAATTGTTGACGAATTTTGACAATTAATTACTGGCGACCTACTTGGGTTACACCGATATTTTTTATGTCCACGGAGAGCCCAAACCACGCTCTTTATATTTATTATAAAATGCCTTGGCTGTATAAAATATCCTTTGCGGTACGTTTACGTTAATATTATGCAAAAACCAAAAAGTACCATTTTTGAAATTGATTTTCTCAAAAAACCCATTTTTTATTTTTTTTATTTTTTGTTCAAATGTAGATATGATAGTTGTCTACACGAAAATCAAGCCTAGAAAGTGTATATTTTGTTTGTATATTCTACATTTAAGCATTAATATCGTACGAAAACGTGTTATTACGGCTCGAAATGGACTTGCGAATTGCGCGTCTTCACAAGCTTGGAAATAGTTTTTTTTTTTTTTTTTCAACGGTCCCACATAAAAATGAAATACAGTATTTTCACCCTGATATATTTATTGATTATTTAAATTTTATTATAGGCGGCAAGCTACATCGGAGGAGTTCCAAAAAGAGAAAGCAACACTTCTTAACAGACCAGCAGGTGTCGTAACTTTTTAACGTGTAGGAGTCGGCAGACGTCTTATTGATTCGGGGCCCTCATTGGCCTGCATGAACGTCCCGCCCTTTCGGAGCCAGCAGATGACCACGACCTTTCGCGCTCGTTGTGTTAGATGGGACGGCCCGTGACAGTAAAGCGAGCAGCGCGCCCTGTGTCACGAGGAGTGAAATGGTACGATTGTGTCGTTGACGCGGCGAACAGTGACAGCCACCCAGGAGGAGTCTGTCAGAGTATTGCACAAGGGAAAGCAAAGGAATCGTTGCCTGAAAGGATGAGGACACCACGGCCTTACAATGTCGACGGTCAACAACTGTTCTGCCAGCGAAAACAACGCCGCGTGCGTGCTGAAACCGGCGGCGCGGGACAGAAATCCCGCAGACACACACACGAAGATGGGCCGGTTTCGTTAGGGATGTGGGAATTTTAAAACCAGCCATTCGTGCATGCGTGAAACGATACCGCCTGTTTGCCCTAGCTTCGAGCGCCCTATCCTAACCTTGAAACGGCCGTGCTCTCTCTCTCTCTCTCCAGGGAGATCCGATAGCACCGAAGGGTTATCTATTAAACTTGAGGAAGAAAACGAGAAGGGAGTGTTTAAGTTTAATTATCCCCACCAACCCGCTCGTTCTGTCCTTATAAAGGGTTATCTCTTTTGGAAACAGCAAAGCCCGGAGACTGACATTAAAACGAGCGTGTTGGTAAATATACTTGTGTTTGTATTCTGCCCGAAGACTAGTTGGGTCGAAGTCAGCCTCCTTGTCAACTATAACCGTTTGTGAAGAGTGGGCTTCTCCCGAGATGAAACGTTAGCGCCGGCTGACGTGTTCTTTTGAAAAAGGGAATGGGAAAGAGAAAGTTTGAGTAACTGCAGAAACTACCTCGAAAGCTCCTCTCCCGATATGAAGCTTGAAGCATAGTCTCGGTTACCTTCTCGCGCATCGCCTGCTCGAATCTATTCTTCACTTTCTTTCGTACAGCCACTGTTCCGCACAGCCGTCGTGGATGTGCGTAATAGAGGGAGGAACAGATTCGAGCATCATCTGGACGCCGTCATCCTGCGAGACTTCAATGTCGTGGGGCCGACTCGTGTGTGTTTCTTCGCCCCGCTGAACTTTGTTTCTCGGGTGCGGTTTTTTCTGAACGTTTTTTTTTTTTCTATGTTTTCTTACTAACTGTTTGTTAGCACTGTTCAGATGTTGGGTTTATTTCGCCATGGCGTAGAGGCCTGGCGGTGATGTAGAGAGCGTGTTCGCACGCATTTGGTTGCGTCCCGTTTAGGGAATGCCCGGGGGAGTTGGTTTTTGTTCTTGCCAAGTGCGGCTGAGTTTTCCCGTCTTTATTAAATTATTGATTTTTTTTTTTGTTTTACCTTTACGTGCCGTCCACTTCTTTGTCTGACTCTCCACCAGGCGTGGACCTATCACCTTGCCACCGCTCGAACCTAAATACTTTATTTTTTTTAACGTAATTTTCGTTAAGATCAGAGTTGGGCAACTTAATTCCTATTTATTTATTTTTATTTCCTACCCCTCTCTATGACACACACTCTGTGTGTTTCGGACCGCTTCTATGTCACCACTTTTGTGTATTACGGAAGTGAAAGGACATTCCCCGGTGACCTGTGCGATGTGCGGTGAACAAGCCCCAGTGTTTGGTTTCGTAAAGAATTGTATATAATATATCGACGATGTGGTGACTTTCTTTGTCTTAGTAATATGACAGCTAAAAGCTAGTCGTGCTAGTTTACTTTGAAAGGTTTATAAATCGAAACAATACAACGTCTGTGCCTTTTGGTTATTGAAAGTCTACTATAGGCCACACCAACTCATGTTTACAAACAAACCGGAGCGCCCCTAGCGGACGCCACCGGCGCCGCGCATGCGCGGTGGATGGTGGGCAAGAAGCCCGCCGTCGCCCATAAACAAACCATTGAATTGCGTTGTTGTCGGCGTCGGTGGGAGTCCCCGTGCTCTTTTACGCGTTGGAATTGTTGATGCTACGTCCTCCTAACAATGTCTGACTACTTGAGCGGCTTCAGCAAAACTAACGAGGCAAAACTTTGCGTGAATAATGTGACGTGCACCGATTCATTGGGCGCTAAAGCCTGACTCCCACGATGAGATTCTGCTCGCTGTTCTCAGACGCGACGTTGCTCGGACTGCAAAAACGTGGACCGTAGCTGAGATGGTGGACGTCGATACTGAAAACCTCAAGTAGAATCGGGCATTACAAGTCGGTGATGGCCACTGGTAACAATAATGATAAACATCTTCTTGTATCTGTTTGCACTTAGCCTGCTTACTTCAACCAACCTTCAAAAGTGTTTTGAGGCCTGCACTTAGTTCTTATCGCAATTACCGGGTCAACATTTGGTTTCCGGGCCGCTGTCGTTTGAACGAGCTGACGACAAAAAGCAGCCAAGTTTGAAAGAGCAGACGACAGTTCGAACGCATGCGTAATGGGGTACGGGCAAGAAGCACCGCCGTCCCGCGTCAACAAACCACTCGAATGTCACGTTGTCGGCGTCTGTGTGAGTCTGCCTACTCTTTTTCGCGTTGGAAATGTCGATTCTACGTCCTCATCGCAATGTCTTACCACTTTAATCGCTTAAGCGAAATTATCAAGGCTCGTTACGCCACTAAACTTTCCCTAAATAATTTGACGTGCGGCGATTCATTCGCATGAACGCCGCAAAATGGACGCCAAAACCATGATGAGATTCTTCCAGCTATTTTCGGTAGCGACGTCGCTCGTGTTGCAAAAGTGTAGAAGGTAGCGGCGATGATCGACGTCGATACTGAAAATCGGAAGCGGGAACAGACCAAGCATAACAAGTCGGTGATGACCACCGGTACCAATGATCAACAGCTTGTATCTACTTTTTACACCGGGCCTACTTAAGTCTTTTGAGGTCTGCAATTACTTCTTATTGCAATCACCGGGTTCAAAGTTTGGTCTACGGGTCGCTTTTGTTTGAACGAGCAGACGACAAAAAGCAGACGTTTGAAAGAGCAGACGAAAGTTCGAACGATAGCGGCCGTGTGAATTTGAAGACGCACTGAACCCGTGGGTGGTTCGGACAACTTGGCGGTTTTCTCTCGTTTATGTTGGAACAAAGCAAACACATCTGGCGACCACAAAGTGTTGCCCGCGCACGCAATCGTAGTTCGACAGCGTCTGGTTTGCCCTTTTCACGGCTACTATCCACGTTCTCGGACGAACGGAGGGGGCAAAACCACATGAAAACTGATCTTCAAACCTTTCCAGACTCTCTTGGTACAACCCCCGTCGTAGCAATTCGACGAGAAAGCAGGTTTTTTGTCTCGTTTCTTCCAAGGGAACACAGGAATGCATGTCTGGCACGGCGACTTCTGCCCACCGCCACAGACCTGAAGTGCGTCCGGCGCGCCACCAGCGCGGCGTGACGTAGGAGAGTTGAGTTGGTGTATAGGCCTGCTGATTTGGTTAGATATGTATCTCATGGTTCCCGCTCTTATCAAAACATACATAAATATTCAATACCACAAAATCCGTTTATAATTGATTACAAAATGCAGAAGAAAATTCAAGAAAACTTTTTCACAATTCATAGAGACGCATGGGTCGCTATGTCTGACTTAGGTCTTGCAAAACAAAGACGTCTTTTTTTGATATTGAGGCCTAAATATAAAACATGCAAACAAAATATACACTTTCTAGGCTTAATTTTCGTGTAGACAACTATCATATCTACATTTGAACAAAAAATGAAAAAAATAAAAAATGGGTTTTTTGAGAAAATCAATTTCAAAAATGGTACTTTTTGGTTTTTGCATAATATTAACGTAAACGTACCGCAAAGGATATTTTATACAGCCAAAGCATTTTATAATAAATATAAAGAGCGTGTTTTGGGCTCTCCGTGGACATAAAAAATATCAGTGTAACCCAAGTAGATCGCCAGTAATTAATTTTCAAAGTTCGTCAAGAATTGACCGAGGAGGCGTTTTTGACATTTTTACAGAAAAAAAGCAAAAGGCCTAAAATTATTTCATGGTATTGGAACCTTTTAAATGTGTCCACAGAGTGCTTCAAAAAAGATAATATAATGTGGACTAAAACTCCATGGCGGGAGATCAAGCGAAACATCCGACCCACGACGGGTGTGAAAAACACTGCTTTTCGCCGCGGCCTCTTTAATAATTCATAAGTCGAGAACAAAAAATCCGACGAACTTGCGGTTTGTGTCGACTGCGGTTTCAGAAACGGCGCCATAACATATATTTTTTTCATCGAAATTAAAAATTCGACCCTTTTTGCCTGCACGATTTGAGATGAAACCACCCATATATATATATATATATATATATATATATATATATATATATATATATATAATAGCACACCCGACCGGACATTGGGAGGCCCAGAGTTCAAATCCTGGCTCCGCCAATTTTTGGCTTTCGGCGGGTTCCTGGAAACTTTGATTCTTTGATTCATTGGATTAAGTACGGTTGATTCATCTGCACATATTCGTTCATATCCTCCTCGGAGACCACATACGATGGTGTGAAGTGCCTGTGTTGTATATATATATATATATATATATATATATATATATATATATTTATTTATATATATTTGTTTTACAATGTCAATCTATTACAGCCTTCACAATATTATAATAAATTATCACACGATGCCATGCCTTTTTCACACAGTTCGAGATCTAAGCCTCTCAGCACAGGATGTTGGCCTGTCCTCCTCTGAAGGCAAGTGACATCTTATTTATTTATTTAATACCTGCAAGGCCCAGAGGTGTCACGGAAGAAAGAGGGGCGCAGTCACAACGAATACGCGTAAATTGACAAAACATTCAATAAAAAAATAACGAATGTAGTTTATCTTGATGACTTTAACCCGAGACTGGGGTACGACGAGGAAAGTTGTGCTCATTGGTAGAAATAAATGAAAGCCGTTTACAATTCCCTGTAACGGCGGTTAGAGCGCAGCTCTTGAGGAGGAGGATGGAAGCGTACTGAGGGATAGGTGACTCCTTGAGGTCACTTGACTTCAGGGGGTCACGTGACCTGAGAGGGTCACGTGACCTGGTGGGTCACATGACCTCGGGGGGGGGGGCACGTGACCTGAAGGTCACGTGACCTCGCGGTTAAGCCGACGGCGACGCCGACGCCGCTCAAGCCGGAAACAGGCCCCTAATAGCTGTGCTCTAAAAGAAACAGCGACAGACAGGTCTCTAAATAGATGCATGTCTGGTACTGCTTCTTTTCTTATTCCGAAAACAAGTCGACCAGGATTCGTTTGTCAATTAGCCTTTCCAGGTACTCGGTTCACATTTCTTGGACGCTTACACACAGTAGGAAATTGAAGATATGATCGCGCAGCATACTGCAAACTGACTTTCACATTAGCCTAAGAAGCACTTCTTGAACGTTTGGTAGAAAAGAAAAAGACAGGGACAGACACGTTTCTAACTAAAGAGGTGTCTGTCACCGTTTGTTTTCTACCATGAAGGCGCCACAAAGAAGTTACGACGTAAATACCCAGACATGCTACTAGAGTTGTTAATGACATAATTGATAATGTGTTCGTCAGGTCAGGTCAACGATAATTTGCATGCCTTGTTATAGGATGATATTTCCTATTAGCCCCGAGAGCGAGCACAAGCGTCGCTGCGGTCGCCGCGCCCTGATTGGGTGAGGCGTACCGTGACGTCAGGGCGATGACTCCGCTCTGCGATCTCGCATCGGCTCGCTTCCCAGCACCGGTTTTCTGGTTTGGCGTTGTATGCCGCAAGCTCTTCGAGGAGCTGGACTTCGTTTACGCGGTGTACAAGACGTTGAGTTAGGCCGATATTGACGTGCTTCCGTACATTTTATAAGCCTGCTCGTCCCCTTTACTTTTAAAGTTGGGTTACAAATCTCGAAAGCTATCGGCGGAGGCCATTCCGCCGATGAACATCCCCGTCCCTCCACACGGCACAAGGCAATCTTGCGAGGGGTCGGTTAAGCGGTGGCGCAGGTGTTTCAGACGCTGGAATTCTGTTCCTTGCATGTTCATGATTTAGGACGATATTACATCCCTCTTTCAAGGCATTTGAAGTGGCATTTATATCATGGGCCTTTGGGTGGTCGGCAAATTAGCACGGCACTTCGGACGAAAAACACGCCAAAAAAAAAATTAAATAGCAACGAGCGCGCCGATAGGTGACGTCGTCACAGCCTTCACAGGGCGTGCGGGGCGAGCGGGGAAAAATTCTCTCTTTGCCGTGACGTCACCCCGGTTTGCCGTAAGGGGGCGCCACGCGAACTTCTCGGGGCTAATAGCGCAGAACCTGTAATGTCCTTGGTGAAGCCGCTACTACCAAAAGGAAGGTACGAAACTCGCATTACTTGACAGATATTAATCTTATTAAGGCACACTTTTAATGTATTACATCAATTGCTATCTTAGAACAATTTAACTTCATCGTGTTTAGTACTTCGAGCGGGGTACCGTAACGACAGATTGGCATGAAAATTATTCGGAACGTTACGGTTGTTCAGTGTTTTTTTTTTTTTTTTTCATTTTTCAGTGACTGAAAGAAAACTCAAGAAATTACCGGAAGAATTCGTCGTAGAAGTCAGAATATTTTCAGCCCCTTCCCACGGCATAAACAAAACAATGGATGATTTGATCCAGTATTTTGGCCTTATAATGAGTAAGGTGTGACACTTTTGCTTTATAATATTTGTCTACAAATCTGAACTGTTGTGTTTAATGGTTCGAAACACGTAGGGCTGCACGTGTTAATAATTTTGCAGAAAGCAAAAAAAAAAAAAAAAAGAGCGGGTACAATTTTTTTTTAAAGATGAGAATGCAATATAAAATGCATTCAATGTAGGACGCATTTCCTTCACTCTGAAAAAAAAATGTTAAACGCAAATAAGAGGTAAAGTAAATTAAAGGTACCACAGGGGTTATTATCTATGAATGCGATAGCATGTAGGGTTGCAAACAGCTACCCGTGTTCGCTTTCCCGCTTAATTTAGTGGATAAACTAAATTGGGGCGTAGGTCACGTGTCGCACGTTTATCCGCTAAATTTAGCGGGGAAACTGAATTGGAGAATATGTCGCGTGATGTAAATTTTCCGTTAAATTTAGCGGGTAAACTGAATTAGGGCTTAAGTCAGGTGAAACAAATCGTTTCGATAAACTTAGCGGGGAAACTGAATTAGCGCATATGTCACGTGATGTAAATTTTTCGTTAAATTTAGCAGGGAAACTTTGTTGGTTCATAGGTTACGTGACGTAAATTTTCCGCCTAATTTAGCGGGGAAACTGAATCAGTGCATTGGTCGCGTAAAGCGAATTTTCCGCCAAATTTAGAGGGGGGAAAATATTTGAGGCCAGGAAATGCCCATACCGAACACCTCGAGCGGTAGATTATTAATGCTATGGCAATAAAAACAATACAAAATCGCGGCGATCCTGCTAATTTAGCGAGGCGTAAGCCCAATCTCATCTGCTAAATTGATCGAAACAGAGTGCGACGCAGTCCAAATGAACTCGAGCACATCACTCTCGTTGGCTGGTGTAAGCGATGGTATGCCATAAGGAGAAATAATGGTGTTTTCGTCATGATAGACCCTTTTCAAAAGGCCATCAAGCACATCGAAGGTCGCCATTTCTTAGGCAGGAAGCGGGTGCTTGGATCTGGGTCTTTTCCAAACGTCGACTCCGTGCTCGTTTTCGACCCCACCGAACGCCGACGCAGGCCTTGTCTTCAATACATGCTTCGAGGATGTGCCCAAACAATGGCGAAATCGAATAATATGCGCAGCAACGTCACACACTCTTCGAAGGTGTCTACTGGCATCTTGAGTCTGCCTACACAAACAGTTACAATGAGTTTTACCAATCTGAAAACGTATTCTACGTAACTCGATTGTTTTCAGATACGGCCATAGTACTCCCGTAATTATTTTATTCCGTCAGTATTCTCTGAGGAGTTTCCGGCGAAGTACTATGCCAGGCGCACGTGTCCCGTAGAGGCCGTGATGGTCACGAAGTGACAGACGGGATAGTTGAAAAAAGACGACGATGGACAAAACGGGCAGTCGGGGTTTGGATTGCAACTGGATAAAAAGGTTCCACCCTAACGCAGTAATGAAGAATGTTCTAAAATGCGGAAGCTTAAGTGGGCTACGTTATATTGTGGACTCGAGTGGGCAGTGTGCGGTTATAGTTCTCAAGTCATGATTTTATACGGAATTTTCCATTTCATGAAAAAGAACTCTGATTCAAACCAGCGCTGAATCGGGAAGATCAGCTCCCATTCCTAATAGATCAAAATACATCGACAAATATTTGGTCATATCGCTTAGACCTTTCTTTTATATTTGCCACGTGTATTGGTGTGTGTTTTCTTGTGACCATTTCTTTGGCAGTGTAGTATCATAGAATTAAGATCGAAACAATATAGCCCTTAGGCGTTCGCGACTTTCTGTGTCGATCGTAGAAACGGGGAACATTTTGGAAACCTGTAGGTCCCTCGTCAGTCCAGCGAAAGTTACCCGATTTTGTGGATGGACTGACGAAGGATCTGCCGAATTCCGAAACACTTTTTGATTCTACGATTACCTGAGAAAATCCTAACCTTCTGATGACAAAGCTGTTTTCATCTTATTGATCACAAGTGCTCATTTAAGTGTAAAAACGAGTAAATTCCTAAATAAGTAATACATCCTCTCGGGGGCGTCTAAAAAATTCAGCTCTTTCGTTCGGTCAGGTATTGTCAACCGATGATATGTTAGTGAAATCGGGGTTAGTATCTAAATTGGTATAATATTTTTACATTTTTTAGGTGAACCAATTTTACAGACAACTGTCCAAGCCCAAAGTACAGTTCGTCGTCGTCGGCATCACGAAACTCACGGTACGTTGCCGAAACAACATTCTTATTTCCCACAAATAACTGCCGAATTCGCGTCTTCGCCTGGTTTGTTTAGCGTCCCCGCCCGCCCGCCCACGCATCAAACATTGTCCCGAAGTGGCGAGAAATGACGTCACCGAAGCCGGCCTGTCACGTTGCCGGATGTCACGATCCTGGCGATTGGTGCTAGAAGTGGTGGCAAAAAGTACGATTGAACGCGAGTGTCGCTTTCGTCGAGGTGTGCCAACTCTTTGCTGCCGAAGGTTTCGTGGACTGTCAACCTGCAGCGAAACGAGCATCTGGCACATCCACGACCGTCGAACTGATCGGGCGGAAATCGGGGAACCACATTTGAGGGACAGCATGATAAACACACCGGTCAAAGACGCGTCTGAGGCACTGTAGTGCCGCCCCTGATACGTTTACGTGCCTGTCGCTTTGTTACAGAATGACTCGTTCGCTCGTCTTGTTCCTGATCCTGCAAATAATAGAACGGTTATCAGTTTGTGTGCAACCGTGGGCAGCTTCTACAAATACGTGAAGGCAACGTTGGCGCAGGACGCTCAGGATGCTGTTGTCTACGTCTCGTCGTAAGCCAACGAATTTTCCCGAGGAATAATAGCGAGTTTTAGTTGGTCGTTTTGAGACCTCCGATTACACTACGCAAATAACGATACGATGCTCGCAGAAAGGCGTCGGCGGAGCATTGAGTACCGTTGTGAAAGTGATGTCGAAACGAGCGACTAAAAATTCCTTATGACGACACAAAGACCTGGCAACGTTTTCTTGTTTAAGTGCGTACAGGGTGTCTCAAAAACCAATTTACAAGTTGTTGTTTTTTTCACTTTAAAAATAAATTATTCATCACCGAGCGCTCATTCTCCGTCCGAAGGTAGCACTATAGCGCTACCAGATGCCAAAGTGACAGCGTGAAATGATATTTTATTCAAAAGTAATCAATGCTTTTCGGGAAATGTCATTGGAAAAATGGTGGCCGGCGGATCTCTCGAATACACGGTGCTCTATGGCACCAAAACCAAAAACGGGCGTGAATAGGTCCCATTTTCCTATTAAAATTTTCAGAAAATCATTAATAACTTTTGAATAAAATATCGGTTCGTGCTAGAAGTTTGGCATCAAGTTCGAACATCTAGTGCTATTTTTCGGCGAAGAACGAGGGTTTAGTCATGCATATAGTTTAGTTTTGCCGCGATAAACAAACCCTATATATTTGTATTGAAACACCCCGTGTTTTTTGTTTTTTTATTGAGGGGGGGGGGGGGGGGAGGGGGAAAAGAAATTGTAAGATAATTGTTTTTACACTGTTAACTTTTATAAAGGGTGCTGTTTTAAGCTTTACATAGTGTAATTGAAGAAACAAATCTGGAATACTTACACTAATGTTGTATTCCAAGTCAGTTATACCGTCACTTTGACATTCTATAGGGAGTTAATTGTGACGATCGATACTTCTATTGGCTAACTAAAATTAGAAAACAACGTTTTTAATTTCCAAAGATAAGAAGATGATTCCCATCAGAGACTTACTGAGCTTCATCGAAAACCACTGAATCCAGAAATTTTCGACACTCTGAGCACGCGGAAAGCGCAGAGGCGCGCTGAAGTTCCCACTCTTGAACAGGCACAAGCTCGGGGTGCGAAGACGTACCCGCGCGGGTTTTTGGTCTCCTGTTATCCGCATTTTCCCGCCGCCTAGCGCCCGTTGCATGAATGGAAATTTAACGCACTACCGCGCTTCTCACGCTCTCGATTTCTTTCCATCATTTACTGATTAAGGAATATTCGATGACACCCAGCAAGGTTATTATCGAGCCTATATGTTTATTTTCGATAATTAAAAATTCAACTATCCGATTTAAGTTCGTTATCCGAATTATCGTGGTAAATATCCCCCTGTGTCAAGACCCCAAGGCCGTATTGGGGAGGAGGACAGACCGTGACGCCCCAAGCGGTTAACCTAACAACTACACGGATGGGGACAACAAATACAATGACGCAGCGTTCGGCCGACATAACCGAACGCGGCGTCAGCGTTCGGCTGGAGTTCGTGTTCTCCGGCGAGGGGGAGGAGGGGCTCTTTTGTTTCCACTACGGCCTGCATGAACAATGCAGCATGCACGATCCCAGCTCAGCACAAAAGCCGAAGTGGGTCAAGTTCGCATTCTAAGATAGATCCGGCACTTAACGTCGCTTCGTCGATTGTTAGTATTTTTTACATTAAACTGCGCCCCGCGTTCTATTGTAGAAGATGACATGGCCATGCCCATAAGGCCTGTCGGCATGTGCACAGGCCTTGTGTTGAGTAAACACCAAGCGTTGGGAAAACAAACGGGTCAGAGCGCCCCCTATAGTTCGATCTCCTGCCCAATAGCCCACCTGCGCACACCGCTTAAATATATCTTTCGCGGATTCTTTAAAACGAATACGTAAACCCCAAAACAAAAAGCCTTGTACAGTAGTGCGACAACTAACCTGCAATTAGGGTGACCACCTTCCTGCTAGTGAAATGCGATACACGCGGGGCAAGGGGGGCAGAGGAAATTTATTAACACGCGCACCACGACCAGAGACTCTGTTAACACAGTTAATATCCTGTGCTGTTTATACACCTGTTAATTGTATTGTCGCAATCAAGCTCAAATAATTTGCACTCCCAGTAGTATATATTTTAGGCCAAATGCGTTATTAAATGTGTCGAAGTTGAAACATAAAAATCGACTGTAGCAGAACAGAATGCTTTAAATAGAAATAAGAAACAGTAAATCTTTTTCGGGTAATTGTTTCCTGTCAACGCTTACTTTTATCAACATGGTCGTACACAAAATTTTAACATAATTTTCTTTTTCGACCGTTGTGAGCTGCAGGCTTTTTGCCTTCTGTAGCTGTCTTCACTAAAAACAAAACCGCGGCAACCCTTTCGCATTAACACAGCGATTTGAAAACAATGAGAGTATCTTGTATTTGCCCTTTTGGCGAGCAATTTTTCTTATAACATTTTGCCACCAAGAGAAGAGGCACAACGGAGCATGCTCGTCGGTTCTACTCCAAGAACGACGGTCGCTTCCCGCAATGCTTGGATAGAAAATGGCCTACCATTGCGATTCACACGAGTACCAGCGCCCTCCGCGCTTCCCCGTGCCCCGTTGTAAGGCAGCACCATAAGTTGCAGCGTGAATTTTACGGCAGTATAAAATGCTGGACATTTTGAAGATTTGAAAATTTCTTGCAGGACGCAGGTGACAAGCCCTTAATGCGGGAAAGTCCCGCGAGTCACGGGACGGGTGGTCACCCTACCTGCAATCTTCAAGTGCATCATTCACTAGTCATTAGATGACCTGTACGAGGTTCTCTCATATCGAACCTTGCAGGAACCGGATGTCTGTAGCGCGAGATTTCGCTCCACGTGCTTCGAGCCGCGCTGCATTTGCACACATTGTCACTTATCCACGATATCCTCTTTTCAAGAAACTTACATCCCAGAGCACCACTGAATTCACAAACGAGCCGGCGTTTCCGTAGGTTGTGCATGCGCAGAAACCAGGTTTACGCAAAAGAAAGCATCTACGAATGCGCAATGCCGCCGGCAGCGCCATCCTGGTGGCGTGACGGGAGACTTGAGTTAGTCTGTAGGCCTTATCAATGTTCACAAATTGGGAATTTAGATTCTAATCAAAACGGCATCTCTTGTTCAGCTTTCAAATTAGGAAAGTTGTACTAGTACAGTGAGGCTGCTAAGCTGCAAGCTTTGTTTAACATTGCGGAAAAAAATACAGCAACGAAGTGCCAGGAAGTACTCTCATGCACAAACCGGCATGGAGCCGAAGATATTGAAACCCATAAACCTCTGACGAGTATTCCTATTGCCTAAGCATCCTGTAAGTGCCTATTAATCGAAAGAAGCAAGAAGAGCCGTCAAAGAAATTGCCAAGAAAAGGACTAAAATAAACCCGAGTTTGCGGCAGATGGTTGCCAAATATTGCAGGCGGTTGGTTTCTACCGCCCCTGTCGTTGCAGCGCAGACGGTTATTCATTTATTTATTGTTTAATTAATTTATTGTTTAACCTATTGAATATTTGATTGATTGATTGACTGAAGGTTATGCTTGTTCCCTGCCCGGTCGTGGTCTATTGCTCATCAAGTTTCATGTCTGCTTCTTCGAAAAATACGTGGAAGGTTCGTGAAGACTATTGAAAGTTTAAGAAATATATCTTCGCCGCTTTTGGATTAGGTTTCACTTAATTTATATTCGTGTCACAAAATCAACACTCGGCACACACACCCGCCACATTCATGTTTAAACTCTGCTACCGCAAATAAGCTTCCCCTCACTTTCAACTACTTTGTGATTTCGAGTATCACGCTACTCTGATGGTATTTGTAGGCAGTCGTCTATACCACGCTTTCTGTCTTTCCCCTCAGGATCCCAGATAGAGACAATGTTGGTAGGTACAAGCATCCATTACTGACTCGAATCTAAGCTATACTTCTTGTTATCCTTCGCTGGACTAAAGGCAAAACCTACGGACCGCCAGATCCAATCACAAGTCACTTAGAAATCGCATGGTATTGCGCTTCGACGCGCCTATTGGGGAGGAGGACAGACCGTGACGCCCCAAGCGGTTAACCTTAGAACTACACGGATGTGGACAACAAATACAATGACTCAGCGCTCGGCCGACATAACCGAACGCGGCGTCAGTGTTCGGCTGGAGTTCGTGTTCTCCGGTGAGGGGAAGGAGGGGCTCTTTTGTTTCCCCTACGGCCTGCATGAACAATGCAGCATGCACGGTCCCAGCTCAGCACAAAAGCCGAAGTGGGTCAAGCTCGCATTCTCTGAGGATAGATCCGGCACTTAACGTCGCTTCGTCGATTGCTAGTATTTTTTTACATTAAACTGTGCCCCGCCTTCTATTGTTGAAGATGACATGGACATGCCCATGAGGCCTGTCGGCATGTGCACAGGCCTTGTGTTGAGTAAACACCGAGCGTGGGGAAAACAAACGGGTCAGAGCGCCCCCTATAGTTCGATCTCCTGCCCAATTGGCGCCCGCGTTTCGGATGACTGATAGGGATGGGCGTGGACAGTGGTTCGAATCGAATGGCACTAAGTGACTCATCAATTTTACATTGCAAAGAAAGTCACAACATACAAGCTCTTCGCACTGTCGAAGCTATAAGCATGATGCAGCGCTTTTTGATTCGGAGCATTATTCGTCCACCCCTAATCAGTGTTGAGCATGTCATAGTTTAGCGTGGAACGGGATTGGACCTGGCGGACCGCGGCTTTGGCTTTTAGTCCATCGTAAGATGAGACAAAGTATAACTCAAAATGTGTCTTGCTAGAAAAACGTCGATGACTACGATAAACTACCAAGGATCGGTTGGTATTACGGGTTATATACAGCCACCACTGCTAAAGGAACTGTTTTTTTTTTCTGGCTAATTTTCGTCGGCATATTTAAAAGTGTACCTCACGAAGAAACATGCGCATTAAAGAGGTTCTAATACACGGATCAAATAGGTTGTGTCGATGCTCTTTTTGTAATGCCAGCATTTCGCATAATTCTCATCATTGGCTTGTGCGACAAAGCAGTTGACGCAAAGGCAGGTTCATACACCCCAGTTCTGTTAAAAAAGCGTGTGTTGTGCAGTCTTGTGACCTCTTACGACGAGGGAACAAACTGGTGCCACCTATTGGGTAGCCGCGGCACACACGAAGATTTCTGTTTAGTATACTTATTCTTTCGCGCATCGTTTTACCGTGGGGTTGAAAAAAGTTTTCGCAATATTTTAAACAACAATGTTTTATAGAGCGCATGGAAGTTTCATCTGGCAAATACTGCAAGAATCTTCATTCTACTGGAATGCAGTTCCAGAGTTCCCTCATAGATGGCACCAGGGTGCCAATATGTTTAGCAAAAGGCCGCAGCCGGTGAGAACCGAACGCAAGTGTGTAGACGAGCGTTCCCATGAATGTTCTGGTCGATGAAGCCGCATCTGTTTTGTCAGGATGTTCATCTAACTGCGGCGTCTGCTCGGGGAACACCGTCACCACTCAATCACTGAACTTCCGCCAACCTCGAAACTGGGAGTCTTATGTCATAGCTCACGAATTGGGACATCTGTGAGTACCACCCCACGTGTTCTTGCTTGAATGCTTCGGACTACTTAACGTCACAGTGGCTGCCAGGATTATTAGCTACATCAGAAATTAATAACGGTTCGTAGTGCCAGTGTCAAATACGGTCAGAAACTAAAGCAGAGTATGAGATAAAACCGCCGAGCTCTTATTGGGTGGATTAGTGGATAGATGAAGAGGATGGCTGTCTTTCTTTCTTTATTCGGAGCGAGCAAGAGCCTCGTCTGCTATCCCGCGCAGGGTCGGGCGTTCGAAATTCCAACGCCAACGTTCTAATTTTGAAAGCTAGACTCAGGACAGCGGGTAGTGACAAAGAAAGGTAGACTTTGCGCCTACTTACTAATCCTTGCAATCAGAGCTCGGGGCTCTCTCGTTCGGTTTCATCTCCTCCTCCTTTTTCTGACTTTCTCTAAGTGTATGTAACCAAAAGCCAAACTTGAAGCTCCAGAATTAACAAATTTTGTGGCAGCATAATCTTGGACTGAAGGGCTGTCCAGACAAGACACTTCAGAAATCGTGAGGCGACACAACTCCGACAAAAGTCGTGGAATTTCAGGTGGTTTAAATCCGGCATCCCGATATTTCTTTGAGCCAGAGATACTGCGAACTTTTTGCGAACCTGAGGTTTGAAGATTGAACCAAGGGGTTCAAAAGCTTCGCGAAGTTTCGAAACGTCAATCTTATTACAAAAAAAAAATCGCTGATTTTTTAATTTTTGAATTTTTGGCGCCGAAGACTTTGGCTGTTTTTGAACTTGGGATTTTTTTGCGCTATGAAATTCGACGATGTTCGTACTTCCACATCTCTTAGGTTCAAAACTTTGACGACCTTCCAATCTTTAAACAAAAGCTCGGCGAAGTTCGAACCAAGTTCACCCCCTAGGCTTAAGGCAACAAATATGAATAACACAACATGTCAATGTCTAAACTGGAGTTGAATTTGCGCTACTGTCTTACTTAGCTGATCGTGCCACAAAGCGCTGAATGATCACTCTGGGGTGGCCTCGGCCTCGTAGGACACATCTTTTCTTTTCGACTTCCACACAGAGCCTCTCCCGCTCACAACTCCGTAGGTTGCCTCAATGTAACCTATGGGCCAACAGACCTTCAAGCTTGGAATTCAACCGAGGCCCTTCTCTGGGAGCGTCCTTCATAGCATTACTTGTTGTAGAACTCAAGTCCCCCGATGTCGAGTCAAAATGCTGCCGGTACATTATTATCATTAGTAACCGGCTGCATTTTGGAGCAGCGAATTGTTCGTCGAAGAATAAAAGTTTCAGGCAGCGGCAATAGGGTAAGCCTGAAAACAACCGGTCGCTACCTGATCAGTTGTATTTAGGCGGCATGGTGGTCCCCTAATTTAGTCCGGTTACATTCTCCTAAACCTTGACTCGTGTCGGGTGCATGTGCCCGTGTTCGATGCTTCGTCCTTCCCACGGGTCAACCCGCCAAAAATAAGCGCCCAGAGCAACTAAATATTTTAGGGACGCCATGTGCATGCGAGTCCTGCACATCTAGTAGTCTTTTGCCAGCATTGCATTTAGGCGTCGTTTGATCGGATTTTAATTAGTTCTTAAATAACTAAGACGCACGTTCACCTGACCGCCTCGGGACTTTTCGATGAACCGCTCAACCAGTTCAACGCTTGTTTCGTAAGCTAAGACAAATAACGAATAATACAAGTGGTACCGCCAGTACCACGCCACTGACTGGTAAGAATTATGTTAACGGTATTAGGAAAATGAGCAGCATTTTCGGAAAATTTGTAGCACATTTCAGGGAATGTTTAGTTGAGTTCATGAAAACTTAGCTCGAAACTGCGGAATTTGATCTCCGTCCGTGAAATTACGAGACTTCGAACTTCAAATCGAAAATTTCAAACTTTTTATTACTTGTACATATAAAAATTCGAAACGTTCAATTTTTCGACCTTGAATCTTAAATAAATTCAAATTTTCAAACAATCTGTTTCAAAAATTAAAGTCTTCGAACTTCACCTTTTTTGAATACTTGACTTTTTGAATTATTCGAATTCGGTCCTCATACGGGTGTAAAATTGCGAACGTTTTGAAATCGAACCTTGTTAATGTTCGAATGCGAATCTTAGCGAGGCTCGAAATTTTTGAATCTTTCGAACTCGACCTTCGGGAGGTTCGCGGCATCCCTACTTTGAACACGACTAAGGAAACATCGGTGACGTCGGTGCTCGTCAGACTTGGCGTCACACGCCACCTGCCGATGTTGCCCATTTGTTCCGGCGGCCTTCGTATCCTTGGCCGTGTTCCAAAATATACCCTAACTTACTAAAAAGTATGGGTTTTGTACCTTTGCGTTCGAACACCTACCCGCGTACCGCGTCGCTCTATTAGTGCCGGAGTAACTTGGATGTTTTTGGGTAAGATTGCGAACGCAGACCTTCCCTTTTCCGCTTTCGGGACTTTGAAGAGCAGCGTGCTCCTCGAGCGATTGACCGACAGCCAACAGAGCCTGTGAGTGGCTGCCCGGGCCCACATGAGGACAGTGCTCAAGACCCCCGTAAAAAACACAAACAAACTTTCACAAAACAAAAAAACAAAAACAAAAATACACTTATTTCCCCTTGAAAAAACAAAAGAACGGACGGGAGCGGGCAGTTGCACGAGTTATGTCGATATTCTGTCGCCTCACGATTTCTGAACTGTCCTCTTTCGACAGGCCTTGAGAGGTGGGAGAGGCTTTAAACGCCTAAAAAGACGTAAACAAGACACAAATGAAGACACGTTTTAAGTTATCCTGATTTTACACAATGTCGAAAGTGTACCCTTGAAAACGTATGTCGACTTTCTTATTACCTGGTTGCATATCCAGCAAAGCACGCGAAGTAAAGGGACCAATTTTTTCACTCTGATTGGCGCGTTCTCATTGACGTCACATCGCCTAGTTTACGGGGGAGGAAAACGAAGGGAGGGGTCGACGCTTTGGTAAGCACCCTTCAAGAATTCACGCTCTAGCCTTTAGTCAGCTCCCAGATTTGCTCACCCGATGTAAGTAGGTCTGGGAGCCGGATTATACCGCGCGAATCAGCCTCGCTCCACTCCCCTCCTATCTCTCCCTACGTAAAGCAGGCGATGCCCATGCGCACGCGCCAATCAGACTGGACAATTAGCTCACTGACTCATTTCGCTCGTTTTTTTTAATGCGATACCTGGGCGGGTGCGCGTTACCTATAGTGTTTAGTGTTTTTGAGGTTAATTTTTCTTCGAATTCGGGGCCGCATTTACGGGGTATTATATTGTTTCTCTTCCAACGGACTCGGTGCTTTTTGGTATCAATTTCTTGAAACCGAAATTTATCAATCGGGTTTCATGTTTTCGCGGTTTATTTTTCTTGGAATTCGGGGGTGTATTTACGGGTTTTTTCCCTGACAGATTCGGTGTTTTTCGGTATGAGTCATTGATGTCGGACAAAATATCAGGATTCACTGGGGCCTACGTGGAAGAAAATTGGACGCCGGCATAGGTTTCCCCAAAATTACGGGTGACATCCGCGTGACCCCGAACACTTGAAAAATGTTTTCGTTCCAATAAGAAAATAAAACGAGAGATAACGTGTGTTATTTCCAAACAAGAAGAAACTTCGCAGACAATTGACTGCGCACTGTGTTCCGGGTCAGCGCCAACTGAAGCCGTCGACAAAGATTTCTTTCACGCGCGATGCTTGCAGTTTTTTTTTTTTTTAATATTAATGAAGACGACTTTTGTGTTTAATTTTCGGGGTCTATTGGTATGTATCAAAAGCAGAGAATCATAATTGAAGCATGTACTCGTAGCGAGTTGCACATGGATGGAGAACTCTCCGAAACACTGCAAACGCCGCGGTGTTGATCTTTCGCCACTGCGTGAATAGGCCATCTGCTTGTGACGTTAGCTGCGCTCTGATTTCGGGTAGACGAAAGTCTAGACTTGCCCAAGTATAAGGCCTCTAGGAGCCAAGGTCTTGGTACCGGAGTGTGAAGATTGTCTGATAGTCAAGCCTTCCGCGTAGCTGATATCCTGGCAAAACGTTTTTGTTTCGCCAGCCTGGCCCAAACAAAACATTTTCCATCCAGTGTAACCAGCACAAATTTTCGCTGTTTACGAGCGAAAACCTCCGTTTACCATGAGGTTTTGTTTCGTAAATTATCATACTATGAAGCACTTAACTCTAACGTCTTCTAAAACTATATAACCATTTGATCAGCGTTCAAATTGATAACCACCCAGTGATTCCAACTTGTCACTGAACGAGAAAAGTGAAGTCAGCTACAAGAATAACCCCCCTCCACCACCCGCGTTTCAATGCTTAGTGGTATTAGTTAGTTTGTTTGTTTTTTCACTTCGAAATAGCTTTATGCTTGAACGTTATCTTGAGGCTATTACGGAGAATATGGTTCTGAGGAAAGTTATTTGAATTCAGCTTATACTCCGTTTCACTCTAAATGCGACCACGGCCGACGCTATGCCGAGCGCAAATTTCGTCTGTTTCTTGATACAGGGGTTGCGATGATGTCAAAACGCCGAGCCCTTATTGGCCGATCGAAAAACAAATCAGTGGGTAGCCCTTGAGGAGTCTAGCCATTGAGGTTTACTCACAATCCTTCCAATCAAGAACCAATCAGGACTCGGCGTCGTTGTGACGTCACCGCAACCCCCTAGACGCAGACGAACTTGCACTCCGCATAGTATCTGATGGAGCCAATCAAGCGGCGCCAACGGCGCATCGTCATCGCACTTGTCGTCTTTGTGCGTATGACGTCAGCGGTGAAACCAATCGCACAGAGTAAAGGCGCCTTGACCCTGCGATATTTATATCTCTTTCAGTACGTCTAATAACAAACGTGTGTAACAAACGTTTCAGGCTCGGAATGGCTCACGAAGGAAGCTGTCCTCCGCATCACACACCGGGGAACGAAGGGCTCCGTTGCAGAAAGCAGGAATTCGGATCTGTTATGGGTTCCGGCAAACCACCGCACTATTTCTCGCGTTGTCTTCAAGACCAGACGAGAGGCTGTCTGATGTAATACTTCCCTCATCCTATGTACCGTGTGTGTTTTTTTTTCTCTAAGTCAAATTGATGTACAATCCGCAGTGCTTCATATATTTGTAAGGCCGGCGCGGCGAAACTGTACAGAAGAGCCCGCATGTGTGTATTATTATGGCGGTATATGTGTGATCGAAAGCAAGTGTCAATACGCTCGTCAAAGATTGCAACGAGAAATATAATAGTGTGGCAAATATGCGCAGTTTAGGTTCGTTCTTATAGGAACGAAATCGAGGTAAGTTAGTTTCAAATAAAGCAACGGAAATAATACAACTAATATTAAAATGACGTTGGTTTATGGAGCTGAAAACACGGTTTAATATTTTTAATATTCGCTGCAGAATGGTGCTAGTGTCACTAACAGCTTAAGGGATTGTCCGGTAAAATCTCGTCTTTCAGAAATGAATATAAATTATGGTGTCCTTTCTTTTAAAAGTATCATCCGTACAGTGTGCGACTTTTAAAATTCCCGCTACACAAGCGGCAATTTAGTTTTAAAGAGGGCCCAATTGCTCAGATTGCGCTCACAAAAAACACACGGGGTCATTCCATGCCGAAGGAGACGCGTCAGTTTTATCATGTCTGGGATATGTACTAAAAGAAATTGTTTCGATAACGATGCGCCTGAACTCCAAGAAAATAAAGTTTTTGTGAAAAAAAAAAAAGATTATTTTTTTTCCGAAATCATTTTCTAAATTTCTGGAATTTGCATAAAACCCATGTAGTTAAGAATACCATTTTGGAAATAAAGAAGGTTGCATACTACCCAAATTTACGTGGACGCCTAATTGAATAAAATGACCTATCGTGCACTAAGATACAAACATTGAAAGACGCCATTTTGAGCGCAAATAAGAGCTTCAGAAAGTAGACTATGAGACTTTTTTTTATCCTTTTAAGTCAAGTTGAATTTGCGTGTTAGGTACAATATTATTTTCCTCTGTTTTCTTAAAACTAATAATGCAATTGCTTGTATTAAGTTTTCAAAGCCTCGCATTGTTCCGTTTTAATTAGATTAGAGAATCTCCAGCTTATGCAGACAAGGCCGTATTGAGATTCAGAAAAAGCAATGTGGGCAGCGGTGCCCACCACTTTCGAAATCAACAAAATTGAAAACCACCTCATATATTCGACATATAAAAAAATTAGAAGATTACTTTTGTAGTCGGTGAGAAGTTGTTTGTTAAAGATGAGCTTCTCCGACCATGGCTGCAGGCGCCCGCCTCGGAGGCGACGCTCGCCAGCGTTTGCCAGCGAGGCGTCAACGATAGGAGACGCCGTCGCTAGGTCTTCAACGCACTCCCGAGAACACGATTTATTCGCTTGATAAGGACGTTATCCTCACTTGCATGCATCCGTATCATCGTTGCGTTACGTAATTGTACTGGCGTCTTAATTTTACTGTACTTCTAACCAGCAAACTGCATGCCGACGAACGCAGGTCTGCATCGTCTGCTTGCCGAGTTTCGGAATGCAGAATGCTTTTCGGCCTCGTCTGTCGTATGTCCAGATGTAAAAACAATTCAGACCGGAGTGCTCTTCACCGATGTGATATGATAACGAAGTCGTACCTTCCCCATTAAACTAAAATGTACTCTGATAGAACTAAGATGTATCGAAGTTCGTTGGCGCATCCCCAAGGACACATTGTCGTGATAGTAACGTCGTCGTGGAAGCGGCTACGTCACTCTTCTAAGCGTCACTGTAGGCGGGGCTTGTGGCATTTTTTGCGCGCAATATTGAAATCGGGACTAAGAAGGGGGACCTGATCGATGAATATCTGGGAACTAGTACAATTTCGCAAATTACGCTAATTGGTCATGCCTCTGATAGTATTTGGCGTCAATACTGCAATTGCAACATGAGCCGTGGAATCATCATTTCGAAAACTAAGGAACAATGTTTTTAATAAACGGACTTACTGTGATGGGTATTACCTCATCAAATGTCCGCCGAGTCTGACTCTCAGATGGCGAAGACGGCACCAGTGTGAAACCTACGTATTATAAGACAGACTTCCTCTAAAAATACCAGTGAGTTCAGAATTGTGGACATCTGCTGGTTTCCAGTGTATTTCAGAGGCTAAAATACTGCACACTAACAGAATCTCCGATGTGTGACGGGTTCGCCGCAAAAAATGAAATGCTTTTTCTATGATTACACTGCTCTTGGTAGAACTACATATTCTACCGAAATACATTTAAGTTCAATAGAAAAGCGACGTCTCCGTTATCATTTCACATCGGTGAAAGGCTATCTAGACTGGGTGGTATTTATATGTGAACATACCACAGACGAGGTCGACGCGCGGTATGCATTCCGAAACTCAGGAAGCAGACGATGCACGCCTGCGTTCGTCAGCATGCAGTTATCTGGGCAAGAGTAGAGTATCATTAAGACGCTAGTATCATTCCGTAACGCCAAGAGCATAAGGATGCATGAAAGTCAGGAAAACGTCCACATCAAGTGAGTAAAACGGGTTTTCAGAAGAGCGTTGAAGTCCTTGCGGCGGCGTCTCACACCGTTGACGTCTCGCTGGCGAACGCCGGCGTGCGTGGCCTACGAGGCTGGCGCCTAAAGGCGTGGCCAAAAAAACCAAAATTAAAAAAAAAAAACAAAAAAAAAGTTTTTTTTGGTAGCAACAAAAAAGAAAATTTATAATTTTTCGGTATGTTGAAGAGATGAGGTGGTTTAAACTTGTGGATATTTCAAAAGTTCTGGGCATCGCTGCTCACATAGCATTTTCTGGCTCTCAATATAACCTTTTCCTTTGATAAACTGCGGATTTTGTCATAGAAGTTAAAACGCAACAAAATGAGGCTTTGGAAATTTAATACAAGCAATTGAATTATATTAGTTTTAAGAGAGCAGAGGAAAAAAATCTGGCAGTTTGATAATTTAGACCCATGTTACGGATAAATAAAAACAGGAAGCGGGACGGCCAAAAAGCATTCTTTTCGTTTAAGGCTCGTCAAATTATGAGGCGCTGGAGAAATGCAGCCTTCTGCGTTAAGTCCTCAGTTCGAAGTCTTTTTGTTTGCCTTCCGCCCATGAAAAAGCATACGGAAAGGGCCTTACAATGCACCTGGTATCGCTGCGCCGCAGCGTTCTTCCGCAACATAAAGTTCGTCTGCTTTCCTCGCCGTCATCATGGCAACGAACGCCGAATGAATAGAAGCACGCACGGTACCACCGCCTGAAGCCAGCAACAACTGACGCCATTTTACGAACGGCAGACGAACTTTATGTTGCGGAAGAACGCTCGGCGCAGCGATACCAGGTGCGTTCTAAGGCCCTACCCGCATGCTTTTCAATAAGCGGAAGGCGAACAAAAAGAGTTCGAAGTAAGGATTTAACGCAGAAGGCTGCATTTCTCCACCGCCTCATAATTTGACAAGCCTTAAACGAAAAACATGTTTTTTTGGCCATCCCGCTTTCTGTTTTTTTTTATCCGTAACATGGGTCTAAAGTATCAAACTGCCAAAAATCTTATAAAGTTTATACATTTGGGAGCTCCTACTTGGACCCAAAATGGCGTCTTTAAATGTATATACTTTAGTGTAAGACAGGTCAGGCTATTAAGTATTTAGGCGCCCACCTAAAAGCTTGTGCGGTATGCAACAGTTTTTTTTTTACAATGTGTATCTTAACTATATGAGTCGTATGAAAATTCCGGAAAGTTTAAGCAAGATATCAGCAAAAATAAAAAGAAATCACAAAGAAATATGTTTTTCTTTCAGTTCAATGGATTCTTTATTCAAATGATATTTTTCGTACAAATCCCAGGCATAAAACATTTCCGTGTCTCCTTGGCATGGAATGACCCAGCGTTTTCGTCAGCAACTGCGGAAGCTCTGACGTAACATCATGGAAGGAGAGCAACGACAGCTCTTGACTGCCGTCTGAGTAAAACAACTTGTTTTAAAGACAGACAGGATTTACGGCGTTGAAAGAAGCTCAATTTTTCGACGACGATCTTTGTACGCGCCGTCCACCATGTCCATCAAAACCGGAAATAACTCAACGTCCGCGACTCTGACGTCACCATGCCTGATGTGACGTCACGACACCACCAGCCGTGCATACTTGCGAAATTAGGCGCGAAGTTTTTCTTTGATCTTTATAACTGATTTAACGAGTATTGGGGCGTCTTTTAAGGAAATAAATATTACATTTGATTATATTTAGTCCCCTGTACGTGGCCAGCGCAAGCGGACATTTCCTTTAAGAAATGAAGAACATGGCTCAGTGTATTCGCGCTTCTCGTTTTGTTATTGCTACTTCGTCGTTCTTATCGGCTAATGGCGGAATAGACACTTTTCTAAAACACAGTCAAGCAAAATTGGCGGTTGCCACTTATTTTGTGCGGCACAAAACGTGTGATTCGATGTGATTTCTCGCCAAACGCTGCCGCAAGCTTGTTCTTGTGCTGGGCGCCAACGCATTATTTTAACACGATTAATCGTTACACTTAAATCCATTAATAAGGTAATTAATTCGTTGCTTCAGCACATTATACTAAAGAAAGGTGTCAAATCTATATACACGCTTTAAACGCGCGCCTTTTTGAGCCGGCATTGCCGACCTCCTCTTGTCTTACCGAGATGCCGGGCCATTGAAGTGGGCAGCGTTGCCCAGCCTCCAATAAGGCCTTTGCTGGGGAGGAGGACACAGTAACACTTAAAGTGGAAATAACCTTTCCTGCTATGGTGATGATGAAGTAAAGCAAGCTGCGTAAACGCGTCTATATATTTTACTTTTACTATTTTTTTGCCACGTCAATCATGCCACGTCAATCATGATCGGGAGCTACTAGGTGGCGCTCACCGTTGAGAAGGGTCTATTGCAATATCTTTGCATTTATAATCAGATGCTCGGTAGTTGAGACACTGTGCGTTTTCTCAAACTGTCCAGTGATATCGCGCTGAAGCTGACAGCACTTCGCAAACACTAAAATCGCAAAGCGTGTAAATCGTTCTCAATATGAGCTCTCGAAACCAACTGTTCTGTCTTTTATTGAGCAAACAGATTACCTCATTGTTTTTATATTCATACAATCCTCCGACTAAGCGGCCACAAACAAAACTTAGTTGTTATCTATTTTTGGTTGCTTGTTGTTGTTGTTTTTGGAAAGGAAGACGGTAGAGTAACTGTATATGCTGCACTTGAAGAGCACAGTAACGCGGCGCTCTCGAATTGGGACCTCCAAATATTGCGGGAAACGACCATCGCTCCCACAGGGGACGCGGCGGGCGCTACCATATATGGTGGCGCCCGCCACGTCTCCTACGGGAGCGATGGTCAATACTTGGAGGTCGAAAATGTCAAGCTTCAGTGCGTTTGCCATATATGACAAATACACCGAAGCTTGACTTTATCCACTGGAACTTGGGGCCAATTGATCAAACTGCCCGAGTTTCACTAGACTTTCTTCTCCGATGATCGCTGGAAAGCACTCGTTTTATACAAGTATGCCCACGTTTTACCCAATTTCCTCTCATCTTGGAGAGAACTTACACTTCCGCACTGACCAACTGGATTTTCTTTTTCAGGACAAGGACGAAGAAGTGCTTTGAACTGACAGGGGCCAAGAAAATTTTCTGAGAGAAAACAACGCCTATCAGAAGTCAATAAAATCGGGATTTTGATTGTCTAGATTGTTTATTTTATGTAACAGATAGCTTCGCACTTCGTACTAGGACTCTTCAGTGCCTCCTTTTGTCGTTTTGTGCGGGTGTATACAGGGCGTTTGACTTTATTGAAAAAGTTATTATATCTATATATACCGTGCTTCTTTTTAAGTGTAACAATTTTGTTTAAAAAAAGTCATGAAAGCTACAAATCTGCGGTTGGTGCAGGTGAGTTATACGACCAGGTGAATATTGTATAAGTGTCTAATTGAAAAGATGAATTGACTAATTAGGTAATATTTTTTTAATTAACTTTTTTATTAGAGAAAATAGACTTATGGTTCCAATTAGAAACTTGCTGAGCGTCATCGAAAAATACTAAATTAACTTTTTGGAAGGATATAAAGCAGGGGCAGCATTTTGCGGCGTTCCGTAAATAGGTTTCATTTGGATGTGTTTCTAGGTTACTTTCTTTGCTGAAGGAAAAGACAAAACAAAGCCGACGTACGTACCTGAAGTATTGTAGACTTAAAAACAAACGCGCTCTTTACAAATAAAAACAATGTTTATGCGATCAATATAAAAAAAAAATATATGTGAAGGATCTAAAACAAAACTTGACTCGTCTCGGAACCAGGACCTTCGGGGGATCTCAAACGAACTCTAGAAATATGCTAAAAAAAAGTCTCACTCGACAATCCTCCCATTATCGATTGGAGGTAACTTGTTAAATAGGAAAAGAATGACACGTTTCTTTTTAATAACTACTTTCATTTGTTTTTGTCCATCTTCATTTTCCACTAAACATCTACATCCTGATGCAGTCTTGCAAAATAAATTGAAAGATATTGAATTTTTCCCCAGTGGTGTAGCGAATAGTATTCACAGAATGTTCAGGTATTGGAGAATTTTGTTTACAGGTTTTGTTTAAAAAAAAAAGTCGCTTTTTAGTGGTAAGCTTCCTGCGAGTGGAAGACAGCAAATGTGGTACCCATACATAAATATCTGGCTTAAAAAATTATTTTAAAAATCAGACACCAAATTTCTTTCATAAGGTCTTTTAAGGTAGTGAGACATATTAAAATAAAAATTCATTCAATCACCTGAAAAAAATGATTATCTCATTCCCTCTCAACACGGATTCAGAAAAAAATATTTTAATGTGAGACGCTGCGGCATAATTGAGTTTTACCACAACGTGGTAAAAAAGTGCTGATCATTCAAGCAACACGGCTAGTATGCCATGGCTTACTGTGCAGATACTCTTCGACTGATGGCCTTGCCATAAGATTGTACGGGTGTGGCCAACACGAACCACCACGTGGCGCCCTATCAGCATGACCTCGGATTCTGGGGTTGTAACATGATCCATTAACGTGGCACACTGACGTCAAACATCGAGGCAATAAAAGCGGCATCCCTTTTTCACAACTTCAGAGGGCACGGTGCTGATCGTTGAAGCAACACGGCTAGCATGTCGTGGCTTACTGGACAGATTTTGTCTAGCACCCTCTTGGCCTCAACATCCTTCGCATGAGATTGTACGGGTGTGGCCAACACGAACCACCACGTGGCGCCCTATCAGCATGACCTCGGATTCTGGGATTGTAACATGATCCATTAACCTGGCACACTGACGTCAAACATCGAGGCAATAAAAGCGGCATCCCTTTTTCACAACTTCAGAGGGCACGGTGCTGATCGTTCAAGCAACACGACTAGCATGTCGTGGCTTACTGGACAGATTTTGCCTAGCACCCTCTTGGCCTCAACATCCTTCGCATGAGATTGTACGGGTGTGGCCGACACAAACCACTACGTGGCGCCCAATCAGCATGACCTCGCATCCTGGGATTGTAACATGATCCATTAACCTGGCACACTGACGTCAAACATCGAGGCAATAAAAGCGGCATCCCTTTTTCACAACTTCACAGGGCACGGTGCTGATCGTTCAAGCAACACGGCTAGCATGTCGTGGCTTACTGGACAGATTTTGTCTAGCAACCTCTTGGCCTCAACATCCTTCGCATGAGATTGTACGGGTGTGGCCAACACGAACCACCACGTGGCACCCTATCAGCATGACCTCGGATTCTGGGATTGTAACATGATCCATTAACCTGGCACACTGACGTCAAACATTGAGGCAATAAAAGCGGCATCCCTTTTTCACAACTTCAGAGGGCACGGTGCTGATCGTTCAAGCAACACGGCTAGCATGTCGTGGCTTACTGGACAGATTTTGTCTAGCACCCTCTTGGCCTCAACATCCTTCCAATGAGATTTTACGCGTGTGGCCGACACAAACCACTACGTGGCGCCCAATCAGCATGACCTCGCATCCTGGGATTGCAACATGATCCATTAACCTGGCACACTGACGTCAAACATCGAGGCAATAAAAGCGGCATCCCTTTTTCACAACTTCAGAGGGCACGGTGCTGATCGCTCAAGCAACACGGCTAGCATGTCGTGGCTTACTGGACAGATTTTGTCTAGCACCCTCTTGGCCTCAACATCCTTCGCATGAGATTGTACGGGTGTGGCCAACACGAACCACCACGTGGCACCCTATCAGCATGACCTCGGATTCTGGGATTGTAACATGATCCATTAACCTGGCACACTGACGTCAAACATTGAGGCAATAAAAGCGGCATCTCTTTTTCACAACTTCAGAGGGCACGGTGCTGATCGTTCAAGCAACACGACTAGCATGTCGTGGCTTACTGGACAGATTTTGTCTAGCACCCTCTTAGCCTCAACATCCTTCGCATGAGATTGTACGGGTGTGGCCGACACAAACCACTACGTGGCGCCCAATCAGCATGACCTCGCATCCTGGGATTGTAACATGATCCATTAACCTGGCACACTGACGTCAAACATCGAGGCAATAAAAGCGGCATCCCTTTTTCACAACTTCAGAGGGCACGGTGCTGATCGTTCAAGCAACACGACTAGCATGTCGTGGCTTACTGGACAGATTTTGTCTAGCACCCTCTTGGCCTCAACATCCTCCGCATGAGATTGTACGGGTGAGGCCGACACAAACCACTACGTGGCGCCCAATCAGCATGACCTCGCATCCTGGGATTGTAACATGATCCATTAACCTGGCACACTGACGTCAAACATCGAGGCAATAAAAGCGGCATCCCTTTTTCACAACTTCAGAGGGCACGGTGCTGATCGTTCAAGCAACACGGCTAGCATGTCGTGGCTTACTGGACAGATTTTGTCTAGCACCCTCTTGGCCTCAACATCCTTCGCATGAGATTGTACGGGTGTGGCCGACACGAACCACCACGTGGCACCCTATCAGCATGACCTCAGATTCTGGGATTGTAACATGATCCATTAACCTGGCACACTGACGTCAAACATTGAGGCAATAAAAGCGGCATCCCTTTTTCACAACTTCAGAGGGCACGGTGCTGATCGTTCAAGCAACACGGCTAGCATGTCGTGGCTTACTGGAGAGATTTTGTCTAGCACCCTTTTGGCCTCAACATCCTTCCAATGAGATTGTACGCGTGTGGCCGACACAAACCACTACGTGGCGCCCAATCAGCATGACCTCGCATCCTGGGATTGCAACATGTTCCATTAACCTGGCACACTGACGTCAAACATCGAGGCAATAAAAGCGGCATCCCTTTTTCACAACTTCAGAGGGCACGGTGCTGATCGTTCAAGCAACACAGCTAGCATGTCGTGGCTTACTGGACAGATTTTGTCTAGCACCCTCTTGGCCTCAACATCCTTCGCATGAGATTGTACGGGTGTGGCCAACACGAACCACCACGTGGCGCCCTATCAGCATGACCTCGGATTCTGGGATTGTAACATGACCCATTAACCTGGCACACTGACGTCAAACACCGAGGCAATAAAAGCGGCATCCCTTTTTCACAACTTCAGAGGGCACGGTGCTGATCGTTCAAGCAACACGGCTAGCATGTCGTGGCTTACTGGACAGATTTTCTCTAGCACCCTCTTGGCCTCAACATCCTTCGCATGAGATTGTACGGGTGTGGCCGACACAAACCACTACGTGGCGCCCAATCAGCATGACCTCGCATCCTGGGATTGTAACATGATCCATTAACCTGGCACACTGACGTCAAACATCGAGGCAATAAAAGCGGCATCCCTTTTTCACAACTTCAGAGGGCACGGTGCTGATCGTTCAAGCAACACAGCTAGCATGTCGTGGCTTACTGGACAGATTTTGTCTAGCACCCTCTTGGCCTCAACATCCTTCGCATGAGATTGTAGGGGTGTGGCCAACACGAACCACCACGTGGCGCCCTATCAGCATGACCTCGGATTCTGGGATTGTAACATGATCCATTAACCTGGCACACTGACGTCAAACATCGAGGCAATTAAAGCGGCATCCCTTTTCACAACTTCAGAGGGCACGGTGCTGATCGTTCAAGCAACACGGCTAGCATGTCGTGGCTTACTGGACAGATTTTCTCTAGCACCCTCTTGGCCTCAACATCCTTCGCATGAGATTGTACGGGTGTGGCCGACACAAACCACTACGTGGCGCCCAATCAGCATGACCTCGCATCCTGGGATTGTAACATGAACCATCAACCTGCACTCTGACGTCAAGCTTCGAGGCTATAAATACTGCATTACTTCTTCACAACTTCAGAAAAAAAGGTGCTGATGTTTACATGCATGTTTGCATGGATGCATTCATTACATGCATTCTGCATGCATGCATTCATTACATGCATTCTGCATGTTTACACATGCATAATTCAAGAGGCGGGTCAGGACATCCGGACCACCCCCTCTCAATTCGCCCCTGTGTTCCGACTGCACGAGCGTGTGCTCTAAGTAGTACGTCGTGATTTTTAAAACGTGCATTCTTCCGCTCGCCACATTATTTTTTTAAGGAAGTGGTTCCTTGTCATTCTATCTTGCGTCCATGAAGGTGTGTCGCAATCATGT